GTGGGAATTGAACTTGTACTCAACCGCTTGGGGGTGCGACAACTTCACCACTTCACTAAGTCGCCACACCCTAATTTAATATAATTGTAAACTTTTTATTTATTAATAGTATATTTGAAAAATTTTTGAAACCACTTGTTAAATTTTGTTGAAAATAGAGAGAAGAAGAGAATATAGTATGTTGTTAAGAATTCTTGTAAAGATATATTGATAGTAATATTAATATAAAATTTAGAAGTATTAAAGATTTGAACTATAGGAGCATTTGTGTATTTAGTTTAGTTAATATGAAAAAATATACGTAAATATATTGGTTTAAGTTTTAAGTTATAGAAGAATTTTTGGTAATTGATGGTTTGGTATCAATTAGAAAGAAAGAGATGGAGTCTAACCAAATTAATAATAATTTAAAAACATTTTTTAATAGAATAAAGAGAAACAAAAAGATAGGAGTTAAATATTTTTAAGTAGTTGAAGTATTTAAAAAGAGTAGTAATAAATACTAGTAATAGTTTTTTAAGAGTTTCACAAATAAAGTTGATAAAAATATCTATAGATTGAGTAATATGAGGATGTGAATTTAAAATAATATTAATAACAAATTTGGGTTTTTGAAGAGCCATAGTGTGAAATAAAAGGTCAAAATTATTTTAAGAGCTAGTTTATTGGTTGTTGTTGATTAGATAATTAAACCAGGATTAAAGTCTTTAAGAAAAAGTTTTAAGAAGTTTATTGATTGAATTGTGAGTTGATTAAATGAAAAAAGACTATTTGATATTGGAACAAGAAAATGCTTGAACCAGTTAAGAGGTTGGTTTAGATTCATATTAGAAGATTTGTTATTAGAAGATTGGTATATAGCAGTATTTAAAATTTAATATTCTCAATATTCTCAAAGAACATTTAATTGTTTTTAAGAATATTAATATTAAAATAATATTCTCTTATTTAAGAACATTTTTTTTTAAAAAATGTTCTCAGAGAGAATATTTATAAAATTTTATGTTCTCAATTTTATTAATGAGAACAATAAGTTATATAAAATATTCTAATTTTAATATGAATTTTTGTAATCATAATATATACTTATATACTATATATATATATATTGTGAAAGAAAATCTGCTCTTCAATACAAAAATACACTACAATACTACATTAATACAAATTAAACAACTCTAACTAAATCTAATAATAGTAAAGCAACAATTGATATGTAAAAATATTTGGTCCAAGTAACTTAATTAGAGCTATAGACTACATCATGAGTCTCTTACAGAATTACAGAATTTGGTCACTAATTCCTATTGCTAATCTAGATTTTACTTATCAGGTAAATTAATAAAGCCAAACAATATTGAACTTTAATTGAGCTGTTGTTCTTTATTGAAAAGCTAGAAGGTATTGTATTTATACTTATACATTGTTAGTGTATATATTTTAAATATATTTACTAAATCGAATAAATTCGATATATACATGTTTGTAATATACAAAATGTTCAGAATACGTCAAATTGGCTAAGCCAAATATACATCTGATTTACCAAATATAGTATAGTTTATTACAAGTAATAATCTAGCAAATGAAATATTTAAAGGTATTTTTGCCTATCCTCTTATAATGTATATATATATATATAATATATATTTAAAGTTTATGCAATATGAGTAACTAATTAATATATAATATGATTGGATTTAATATTAAAGGTTTTTTAAAATATATAAGGTAATAATCCTTAAAAATTTTCCAAAATATATTGATATAAGGTAATAATCCTTAAAGGTTTTCTAAAATATATATATAATGATAAAGCAAAACTGTGTAGTATATTTTTTTCTAAAAGATATCAGTATTGTTAATTTATAAATCTATAGTGTATAAAGTAATATTCTAATACTAAGCAAGAAGAAAGATACAGTATTAGTATGAAGTTTAAAAAGTTAAATAATAAAATACTTGAATTTTAATTTATCTATAGTAGTATTAAATATTGTGGGCAAATATGAAAAAGTGCTTAAAGTTTTAACAAAATTGTGAAAATTGAATCAAATAATTAATTATATTAAGTTATATTGAATAAATATAAAGAATTATATGTAGACTTTAAAAATTATTAAGATAATAAATAAGTATGAAATAATAGTAGAAATGTAAGTATAGAATTTATTTGTAAATAGCCTATTATTTTATTATAATAGAATTCATTAAAGATCAATTTCTGTATTAAACTATCAGAATATAATAGTAAGTATAAAGCTAATTATAAATAATCAACCTTTTTTATTATTGACGAAATGCGTATTACTTTTTATTTATTATTATTAATGAATTTATTTATATGCTTACATATTAACTACTAGTTTGTAAATACAGAGTTTGCTTATAAAAAAATCAATTCTTTTAATAAATATTAATCTTTCTTTATACACTATAGAAAAATTATATTTTTATTATTACATAGAAATCAAATTTGCAAATATAGTTAGTATTAACTATATATAATATTAAAGACATATGTTATTATATTAGCTTTAACTTAATATACATATCACTTTATACAAATTGACTTTATAATTACGATACTAGCTTGGATATTGATAAACAAAGTTATCTTTATAGTTAAGCACAAGCCTTTAATAATCAAAAATTAGATTGATTTTATAACTCAGTATATAATACTTATACTTCTCTGTTTGACAGATTAATATTAAGAACTTTTATTAATACTAACGGATTTATTTAAGAACCTGTTACTAGCTTACCAAGTTAGTCTAAAGTGTAAATAAAATAGATAAATAATTAAATTTGTAAGTAAGAATTATTGATACTATTAGATTATATCCAATATGTCAAATCATAAAAACAAATCTCTTGACTTAAGTATTAATCCATTTTCTATTGTTACTCAATTAAAAGCTTCAACTAATAATATTGATGATGAATCTTCTACAACTTCAAAAGAAAAATAAAATCCTCGCCAACTTAAAGTATCACGACTGGCCAAAGAATTATTAAACTAGAATCCAAGTTGGCCCAAAATATATCCTTGAGTTTATTATAGAGAAAAACTATTAAATAAATATATGTTTTGTCTTGGTACAAGAAAGTTAGTAAAAATAATAATTTTACCAAAGGGTATAAATTTTTTAAAAAGCAAAGTTTGAATTGTAATGTTATTATTAGTGATCATTAAATAGTCTGTGTTGCTCAAATGCAATCTCAAATTACTTTATATTCTAGTTTTGCTATTCAAGCAAAAACTGATCAAATTAAAGTTATAAGAAATATACACAATATATATTTTTTAATTCAGCATAATTTATCTACTAATATATTTGAGAGTTTATATAAATTATCTGAAATTTAACGTGTTGAAAATCAAAGTCAATTTGAGTATAGTGTAAATATTTTAAATATATTTGATAATGATTTTCCTATTGATAATGAAAGAGCACTATATGGTAGTTATCAAAATAATATTGCAGCTCATAAATTTATTGAGTCAATTGGCCATATTATAGAACAAGAGGTTTTTTAAAAATTGCAAAATTCTGATAAGTGAAGTATAATGCTTGATGAAAGCAATACTATTTTAACCAAAAAAGTTTTGGCAATTGTCTCTAAATACTTAATTGAACTAGCAAAACTACTTTATTAATTTTTTGGATTGATTTCTTTAACAAATAGTACCGCAAATACAATTATAGCAGAAATTGATCGATTTATTAAAGCTAAAAATGTATTATATAGTAAATTAATGCATATTTGTACTGATAGCGCTAGTACAATAACAAGTAATTTATTAAATTACTTATATAATTTATATAAAATTTATTATTTATTTTTTATAATTATTATAGATATTCACATTAAAGTAACAACTCAGTTAAAAAATAAGAACCTTTTTGTTTTGGAATACTATTGTATTTCTCATAAATTGGCATTAGCTGCAAAAGATGCTGCAAACCAAGTTAAAGAATTTAAATCATATGAAAAAACTGTATATAGTATTTATAGTTATTTTTTACGAAGTATAGAACAAATGATACATCTTAAAATGATAGAAGAAAATATTAGTGATTCTCAACTTATAGTTTTAAATATTATTGAAACTTGTTGGTTGTCATTATCTAATGTAATTCAAAATTTGCACCAAATTTTAAACTCTATAATTGATGCATTATATGAAGATTCAGATAAAAATATAATTGTATAAGCTTTATATAATAGTATTGACAGAAACTTTATTATAACAACCAAATTTTTTGCAGATATTCTTAGAATTTTAAGACGAATGAATCTTCTTTTTCAAAAAAATAGCATTACAATTCGTGAGGTAAAAACTCAGCTTGATATTACTATTCATACTATTTAAGTACAGTTTCTTGGTATTGATATAGTTGAGCTAACTTGGAAAATTCATTTATGCAAATATATAATTAATAATGAAATTAGCACAACAGAATTACCTGCTATTATAACAAAATTTGCACATGCTACAATTAAGTCATTAGAAAAAAGATTTCCAAACTGAACTCAAATTGATATATTTCATATTTTTGATCCAATAGCTTTGCCTGCTAATAATTTAAATTTACAAAAATATGGCAAAGATGAAATTGAAATTTTAAGCAATTTTTATAGTCAAGATAAATTCGTATCAGAAGTTTTATTTTCTGCAAAATTGAATCCTGAAAATTTAAAACATGAATAGTTATTAGTTAGATATTTTTTAAAAGCAGTATCATTTATCAACTGATTATTTTTATCAGAGGCTTACCCCCTCCCCCTCTTAATATAAAAAAAAATCAGGTTCTTATATATAATTTTAATTTTTTTTATCACTTCTTCTCTAACTAATTATAAAAATTTAGATTTTTTAGAAGCTTGAAAATGTATATATTTTGATCTTTCTAATTTTAATAAAATTTATCCTGAAACTGCAAAGTTAATTTCTATTTTAATTAATCTTCCTTTAACTAATACAGTAGTTGAGTGAATTTTTTCTAGACAAAATTTAATCAAAACAAAACTTCAAAATAGTATAAGTATTTTTATACTTAATTACTTTCTTTTTATTTCATTTATTGGACCTAAATTAGAAAATTTTAATTTTCAACTAGCATATCAAGAATGGTATAAACTTGATTGTCAAATTAAATAATTATAGTTATTTACTATTTATAGATAAACTAGCTAATTATTATTTTATTATTTATAATATTTATCAATTTAATTAGTGATTTGCCACTCAACCAGAGAAAGCTTATAGTGTAACATGATGCAGTTTATATATAGAAATTAGAGTTTTTGGAATGTGAGCTGCTTCTATCTAAAACT